CACAACTGCCTGGAACAACATTGAATAGACGAGGCGAAATCCTCGCACACGGGGGAGACATTTTCTCGATTTTGAATCTCGTTTTCCTTCCCACGCCTACTAGCGGAGATGTATAGTGATCGCGAATAGTTTCGAAAATGAGATATGTGTTTTGGATGTTACATGACAAGTACATCACACAAAACCATGTCACTCATTTCCGTTTGTCTGTCTGTCGGTCTGTCAGCTAATCTTATAATCGCCTATAACTTGAGAAGTACCGCTCGAATTTCGATGAAATGGTTACACAATATTACTGCTATGCCAAGGACGGAAAACCTTTGTAGTTTTTCAAAATCTAACCAGGGGCGGCAGAAAAAAGTCTAATCACGAAAGAGAATAGAAGCCGCTCAAGCTTCGTTTTTTGACCTACCGGCTAGGGCTACTGCTCCCGGCGGCATGCCGCCGGCCTTGGTTGGTGTTCTGTTGTTCTGGTAAGGTACAGCACGTATTTCTGCTGCGCCACAGCATAACGTTTCCTGTGCTTTGACCGCTCTGCCACGTCTGACCGGGGAGAGAGATGTTTTCAGAGGCACTGTCGGTAGGGTAGGAACTAATTGTATGGACCTGCTTGACTGACGTTTTTCTCAGAGGGTCTAGGTTATGATGAACATAATCCTTTGTGAACATCTGAAGCTTTTTCTGTGGTTTTCATGCTGATAAAACGCCATGTCCTTTTGACCATTAATAATGCAACCACATATGCAAGAAAGACTTAAGCGGCCGGAAAAACATGGAGAAATCATGTTTGTTGGATGCTTCTCAGCACGATCAAGAGGTTGTTCTGAACAAAAAAAGGCTTTGTTAACTTTTACCTAAAGTGGACCGTTCTCGAGTTATAGGCAATGCATTATTGACAATGCCAAGCTTGTAGAAGGTTTGAACATTAATTTAGAAACCTGACTACATCAAACATAACACCGATGACGTGATCTGGTACGAACACATCTGATCAATAGCGGCAGCTGCTGGGAAAAATAGACTATTTGTTTCTGACTAAGAAGTACTTTTCTCCAAATAACCTCTTGACTCACTACAAGGCCCAGATAAGACCTAGCCTCAGGTACTGCTCACACCTTTGGAGTGCTACCGCCCCCCACTGAATTATACATGCCCGATGATGTTCAGAGGAGGGCTGTCCGACTGATCGATGCCTCTTCCCTAACGGACAGTCTCGGGGCCCTCTTCTACTACTATATCAACGAGCTTTGTACTCTCCTCCATGATGCTGCCGGGCGATGAGCCTACCAGACAGACCCTGCTGACTTGGACGTCCCATCCTCACTGTGTCGAACTTCGTACATCCAGAACTGGTCTCACTCTAAGTTCCTCATCAGACGCGGTAATCTGGCTTCTACCTAAGCGGCCGTTTCTGTGTATAAAAGTGAAGCTTTTTAGAATTTTTCAGACTTGAGTGTTGAAAAGATCAATCACCTTAGATAGTTATTAGTCATTAGAAGATAGTTGCAAGGGACCTTTTTTATACAAAACAACTCAAACATTTTTGGCCGTAGATTTTTTTGCTGTTTGCTTAAAAAATTGTTTAAACAAATTTGCACCTGGTAATCAATGGAGTTGGATTTCTCCGCCGAATGCAAAGCTTTCATCATTTTTAGAAAGGATCAGAAAAAATATGTTTCGCTGGACGTGAAAGCGTTTCCTTGCCTGGAGGAAGACCCTCGCATCCCTCGCAGCGGATGTTAGAAAAACTAATTTAACGTCCGAAGTTCCGCTTGCTTAATAGGGTAACATATTGGGAATTGTGAATCACCTTACCTAGTCGGAGCTCTCGGTCGGGTACCGGTAAGCTTGGGCGTAGGATGAGGTAATAATAATATACAGTGTAATAGCATAAGCGTCAGGTTCAAGCAGATCTAAAATTCCGAACACACATACCACAACAAGTGCCACAACATTTTTGGAGAGCCACAAAATCTCGTTGTTAGCGCGCAATGTACGCTACCGACATGAGTAGTCGCAGCATAACACCTATACAGTAATCCAGGCCATTCTCAAAGCTGAGACATTCATTTCCACAGCGTCATTGTAAAAATGAGTATATTTTTCGAATTTATATATTATTATCTGAATTATAAAATATTTTAAATAACAGATACAAAATACTTTCTAGTATCTATTGGTATCTGGAATACTAGATACAAAATACGTATCCATTAAAGACTTTAGGAATAAGAGACCTCTAAGAAGATGTAATAAGATTCATATGACTTCTTTTTAATATAACTTCCAATATTGCCTGAAGCCTCCAGTTCTTCATTATCATATCGATTGACTCTTCTGATTTCCGTAAGGATAAGCTCTTTTACGTCCTCTTGGTCCCAGACTGAAGTTTCAGTGACGTGTTATGTGAAAAATGCATAAACTATTACTAACCTAGTATTTACCAATTACTAAGATATCAAATGAAATGTATCTAAAAACAAGTCACAAATACAATTTTAAAAAGGTATCTTGGATATAAGGCGAAAATTCGTTTTTTTTTTTCTTGTATCTGTATTTCAGATACTTGTATCTTATGTGACATATCTGGATCTGTATACTAGGTCTCGAAAAATTCTACTGTGCTAACTTCGGTCCTGTTAAATTAACAGCTACAAAGATGGGATGTGCGTCAGTATTCAACACAAGCGGCGTGAGTGTAGTAAACCTGGAGTATTTTTAATTTTTTTTTTTAGAAACGGATTCGATACTCATAAAACATACTGCAAGCACAGCTGTTGTTTAACAGAAAAGTAATAACTTGGTAATTCGAGCTTTTGTTAATCGCTACCAACGAATTCAGACTAGGTAGAAGGAGTAGGTCTATGATTTGTTTGTCTCTAAGATCTCATAGTCTGAAATCAGGATGAAAGTTCACAGTTCAGGAAGATCAGGCTTACGCCGCCAGTCTGACAGTGGTTGTCATGTCACATGAAATTCTCCCATATCTGGTAAGTAGTAATTATATTACACCGTATGATGCTAATGGCCCTATCGCGCATAAATTTTTATTTTGGAAAATGTAAGTTCAGGTGCCCATACGTAATTTCGTGCATTTATAACTTAAGCTACAGATCCGTTGAAGTGCTGTTTCTCTTTTTAAGATCGTGAACAGCAAATAGACCTCAACGTTCTAGCGTTACGAGTGTAGGGGTTTTATTAATCCTAGTTTTCTTTGTGCGCCTGTGTTCTTCTAATTTTACCTTTATTTAGTATGGGTAACTGCAACTTCAAAATGAAGAGTTTTCCTAAAAAGGGCTGCATATTTTTGCTTCTGAATCCGTAATAATGAAGTTTGGGGACTGCTAGGGAGAGACTTGAAGGTTGAACAGTCCTATTACAAGATTCTGTGAAATACTCACGAAATTAGATCATCCCACTGACAAACCATGTCAACGACACGAAAATTTAGATCTTATTAGTTTTTGCGTGTCTGTCTTTTGGCATTTTTCCATGTCTATAATAACAGAAACAGCTACACTGATTTCATTGAAATCTATGGAGACATAGCAATTACTGTCACAGAAACATATTCATTGATTTTCAAAAATTTCAAGTCCGTGATTACTTCAAGTCGTGATTAAAACAATTCTATAGGAAGCCGAATAATCTTAGAATTCAGCTAGGCCCATTTTTATACACACAGCTTTTCAAAAAGTTCCCCATCCCTATCCATTTCTTCTACAGGTCAAGTTAACAAGCTAAAATCTTTCAAAATGGCGGATTGGTAGACAGTCAAAGTTTACCGTTTTTTTAAATTGATGCGCTTATAACTTAGCCAATGCTATGTATCTCTACCTGAAAGCGTAAAATATTAAATATTCCATTAAGAGGATACCAAAACCTGTCAAAATCTTCTCAAACGGAATGCTCCATACTATATTGCATAATCAGATCGACTCTTCCAAAACAATGGCGTCAACTGAGTTGATTCTGTACTTCCCACGCAACGCTGTTCTCAGTTCGTAAAGGATTATGTTTGTAAAAACATAGCTACGAAACATGTTTAACGAAAGATTTACTGATCTACTCCCTCTGACAAGACCAATCGATATGACGATATTGGCCTTCACCATGCACATTGCACACATCCCACAGCAGTACAGAAGCGATTGCCGACTGTGACGTACGACCACCGACGACGACGCTGGTCCATCGGAGGACGACGTCACACGTATCGACATCGGTCGGTTGGATATATTTCTAAGTGTTAAGGGTAAATGTACGGAGACATAAATAATGAGTGAAATATGCCTAATATGTGCGTGGAATTACTATGGTTGGAACCGTATAAATATACCAATCTCAAAAAATGAGATATACCATTACCCACTCCCTGCAACACCTATTACTCCAGCCCTGAACCCTACAAATTTTACCAAAAATGATCTTATTTTTGTCGTTTTTGGCAAGGTACACCAAGGTTCAGTTTGCTAGGCTGATCCGTTCAAAAAATAAGTGGCGGGACCTTTTTGAGAACATTCTATGTATGTATGATGACAGTGTATATCCAAATGTATACAAATGCGTAACGATAAATTTGACATTCTTTTTCAAATGATAAGTTACATTATTTATTCAACTTTTACTACTTATATGTATAACAAATATTATTAGACCTGCTTCAAGAACCGAACATGTAGTCGTAGTTTCTCAACATCACACCTTTAATTAAACCACAGGTATACTATATTTGTTTCTATCAAACGTTGATAAACTAATTAGCATGCAGTTGGTTTTGAACTGGAGTTTGAGTGACAAGGAAGTTTAACCAAAAACGTGCTCTACCTACGTGCAGTTTCTTATTTTCTAAACAACTTTAGTCTTCTATAGTAATACTGTAGCTTATTATATGTGGGGTTGCTGTTATAAAGCCCTGCTATGACAAGGGTATGAAAGGTGCCTCGTTAGAGTGTTGCCTTGAGAAAGGTCAATGATGTATTTTGTTATTTTGATTTGTGATGAATCAGCTCGCCTTAACAGAATCTGTTACAGATCAGAAGCTACGTAAATCGAAGGCATTTCTGTCCCACCTATGCAATGGCGCCTGGGACGGCCTCCTGTATGAAGGAAAATACAACTGGTAACATGGTAAAAGTAAGCGAGTCATTCAAAATGCATTGTATTAGACCCTACAACTTTTGTACAGAACTTTTTTTATCGCTTTTATAAGTTATGGCCTGAAAGTCATCTTCCAGAGTTGAAGGTTTCGATATACTGTGTACCGGGTGCTGCTGAGCACTAAAAACTCTTTCATATTTTTGTACTGGGGCAATTTACATTCGTCTTTCTCCGCCGAAATGGCGGCCGTTTGTGACACTGACAGAAGAGTTTCATAGCTGCTTGTTATTCAAGCTATGCTAATACATCTGACTTATAGGTACCGGGTGTTCCTAGCAGGTGGCTCACCGCTATAATTTTTTATTTTTAAAGATACAAAAATGAATATTGGTATTAGGTATATCACTGTTTGGCATACTCAATTGTTCACTCTGACTTCCGGTTTAGCCGGAAATGACTTTAACATTGTTATTTTAAATGGGTCACCCGGCATATTTTTGCTTATTTGAATAGAAAATATTCCGAGTACAATGATGCTGCATATGCTACCTTTAGACGTCTAACTTACAAATTGTAATTTTCAATTATTGATCTAGTGTACCATGAATGCGATAAAACGGCAAATTTTTTAACTAGTTTATTTAAGGCGTCATCTCATTTTTTATCAAACACAATAAGGTCGATCATTAGCACAGCTACAATGGATTTTTTTCGTAAATACGTAGTTATTTTTAACGAAATATTTTTATCATTAACGTAATAAATATAATTTTCCAAAACGTTCAATCGTCAGTAAAATAACGCATTGCTAACTAAATTGTATAATCAAGAATTAATGAAATACGTTTTAATTATTCTACCCAGTGAATACTTTTTAATTTATTAAATGGTCGAAATGAGCACCTTGTTGTTGGCAAAGTTCATTTCTCTCAATTGCTTTGCGTATTACATTTTGCAGATGCATTGGTGTAATACTATTAAGGGTCGCCCTTACTTTGTTTCCCAACTCGTTTCCGGTCACTGACGGTGAATTATAAAGGTCCTTTGTGATTGTTCCCAATAAATAAAAATCTAGAGGTGTTAGGTCGGGTGACGTAGATATTTAAATAAACGAATTAATTTCGATAAAGGTTTTGAATAATCAATTCTACGTATCTCGGAGGCCATCTAATTACTCCATTATTTCCACTCCATTTTTCCCCGTAGGTGTTATTTAAATATGCTGATATATCACCCGCGTGTTGTGGGGCGGAGCGCCATCTTGTTGATAAGATATTCCATCTCTATATATATATATAAGGCATTGAAGAAATTGAAAATATCTTTCTCCTGTCAAATGCCCTTCAAAAATTATAGAATCGGTCTCCTAAAATTCCCATCCAAAAATTAAAACCAAAGCGTTCTTGGAAATTTTCTTCTTCCATTAAGTGCAAATTTTCCTTCGACCAATATATTTTATTATTGCTGGTAAAAACACCTAAATTTGTAAAGCTACTTTCTCCTGTATAAAGAATTTTATAAGGAAAAATGTCCTCCTCTTGGTATTTACGTAAAAACCAGTTGCAATATGCAAGCCTTTGTTCATAATCGGCTTCGTAAAGATGCTGATATAATGTCTGCCACACGAGAGTTTGCGAGTCAAAAGAATGCGGGCAAAAAATACGGGATGTTGCCTGATGTATTTCGTTTAGCGTAAAACATGGAAATATGCGTTGATATTCTGACTGTAATTATTATGAAATATTACAGAGCAAATATTATATCAGATATGAGATTTTCTTTATATATATACATATACACAAAATATACTACTTATCATTTGAGGAGTACTATTGTGAAACATGTCATCAATATAAATATACTTACCACAACAAAAAACTACAATTTCGTCACATCTTGGCAACTCAGTAGCGCATCGTCCACCTGACTGGTGGATACTGGGGGCATGGTGGCAAGTGGACGTTACTTGTAGCTCAATAGGCGTGGGAGCAGGGCATTTGGTAAACGGTTAAACAGTATTCAAAGCGTTGCATTGTCTACTTGCGTTATTGAATTATTTGTTTCAATAATGGAATCGAAGAAAGGTAGAGCTACTCACAGCCAGGCAAGAGAAGTAATAGCCAAAGTAATAAATGGATGTGATGAGGAAGCTTCGAATAATGTTCTCGTTCACCCACTTGTTGCTCGAAATGCTAGAGCAGCATTTTATCCTTGTGTGAGTGAAAGGACCATATCTAGTATTAGGAACGAAGATCGGGAAAGGAAGAGCTCCAAATCAGGACAAGCGCTGTCTTCTCCTGGAAAAAACGGGCCTCGTCCTTCAATAATTGAGAAGGCAGACAAGGCGGATTTTCACGCGGCTTAACGTGTCTCAAATGAAATATACTATCATCTCTTGAGATGGTGGTGCCGACTGTCCGAACACCCTGTATAGAGTTTGGTGTCTTAATGACGTTCAGACTTTATACAAATATTTTAACAAAGTATCCTAAATTTTCTATCAAAGGATTCTTGTATAACGGTGGCACCAACTCTGTTAACTTCAATGAAATTATTTGTTTGGCGGTTCAGATTTCAGTGGCAACTCGCGACAAAAGGAGTTTGTTCCAGGTAGCCTTTGATATCAAAGTCTTTAAAGGAAATTCGTCCTGGAAAAGACCGCTTCACTTTTTCACAGAAATAGCTTCCTGTATAGCATCCGTGTGAAAATGTTGTCAAAAACAAGGTTGTTGCAGGTAAGAGGATCATGTAATATAAACCAACTTGAAGGAAGCCACAAATAGTTAGCTCATTTTTATGGTTTTCCTGTGCAGTCTAAATGAAAAATCAGTATGCAGTATCAGATATTGACATCATGTTTATCCGAGAATACATTCCGATATATTGCCGAACGGCAATCACTTCAGATCTGTAGCTTAATCGTCTCTCACCTGGATATTCAGGAATACGATCAAGTGTAATACATTTAATTAAACAATTTATCCGTCCTTTACATGTAGACTCAATCGGACTTTAAACACGGCCGATAGGGATGCTTCATGATTCCTTTTGATGTTTCGATTCAATCAATCTTAACTAGTCCAGAATTTGTAACAAGCTCGCTTGAGCTTCTACACAGCCTCTCTAGCACTAATTGATGAGTTTTCTACTTTGCCTTCGCATTTTCAACTTGCTGGTTGACAAAATATGTGATTGTGTGATGCGCTGAGGGAGTTAACAAGTGGGGATGGCCGTAATGTCGAAATCGGGTAGTTATCATTATTTCTCTCAGATATTTACCCTTCTGTTTTGTTGTTTGAACATTTCACGGCACAAGACAGACCTGACAGATCAAATGACCTTTTGAGGCTGGAAAAATGATTTTATAATTTGAAGTTAGGTATGTCTTGCATCTTGTAAAATGAAATCCATTCCCCTAGTACATGATCTAAGGTTTATATATGCAAATTTTTTACGTTGATCACTTCTATATGAATCACGATTTTAGAACCTTACTTTCAAGTATAACCAGTCTTTACACATTTCTCCAAGGTGGGACACTTCATAATCTTGATTGGAATGCATATTTTTCCTTAAGTATTTGCTTTTCCTTTGCTTGAGTTATTAACAATTTGCCGTAATCTTGTGGAGCTGTTAGGCCAAACAGAGCTCCAAGGGCTATACACATGATTTAGGGTCTGCTTCATAAAGAACTGCCATTTTAACGGTTTGATATTTTCCACCAATAACGTAACAGAACTAATAATATAGCGAATGAGCCTTGACATCCATTCGTGAAATTTATTAATGGCACTGAAATATTGGATTCTTTTTTAAAGATGGTAGCTCCCCCTTAAGACGTGGCCAGCTTATTGGAAATAAACGAATTATATAAAATTCAGTTAGAATTAAAAAAATGATCTATGAATGATATCTGATTTTACTGATCTAAGCTCGGTTCCACTAAATGAAGAAGATGCGGGTTCCTATCTCTGAAGTTGTTATTTACTATGCATATTTGCTGTTGCGGATGTGTTCATCCAAAAAAAATCGTATACAATATATTGCTTATTCTCACAACTCCATGCATTTACAAAGCCATTCATGATTATGAGATAAAAATAATGTGCAGCCATTCGCACAATACTTAAAGAAATCCAAATATTTGTCCTAAAGCATCATGCAGATCTAAAACTTGCAAAAAACTACATTTTAAACTAATTTTCATTTTGCATCGAGTACATAAATGCTTGGTTGTTTAAAACTTGCAAAATTCCATCCAATCGACAGTGCCTGGGATATGTGGAATTGTGTCTACGAAAGGTTGGGAAATCTCGAAACTGGAAATACTACAGCCAAAATATGTGAATCGACCTAAACATACCTCAGTCCAAAAGTTGATAGTTTGCGAGATACAGGGTGTTAAAGTTACAATTTTATTTTCTATTTTTCCTTATTGGCTGTATTTACATTTGGAAAATTGAATTTCTCGAGCTGCATTCCTAACCAAAACTGTAGGATTTTCAAAGACAGCATCTAAAACATTTTTTTCAACTTCAGCTGTTCGTACAGTTCTGGGAGCTCCACTATGTCGGCCAATACTTTGAGCAAAACTACCTAAGATCCAAATGGTTTTTACTACTCAAAATTAGTCTATAATCATTTCTTACCAGTTTCTCGTAAGCGCTGATCGATTCGTTGGAAACTCTTTGAATTAGGCAGGTATCTATTAGGGAATCTGTCAGCGTACAATCTTTTAAAGCGTTACATCTTGCCAATCCGTACATCAAATGCATATCAGAATATTCATCAAACGTTTACTCCATGATGTTCAACAACTTATTGTCAACTTAAAATTATTCCTCAAAGTTTAAAGCAATATTATGACAAACATTAGCAACGCTACTCAGATATTATCCAAAGCAACTTGATTATTTTGTGATAAAAATGTTTTATCATCATGATAC